CCCAACCCCAGCTAAGTGTCACAGGATTACTGGAGGCAATGCAGGCAGAAGTACAAAATTTTGCTTTCTCTAAAAAAAAAAAAAAAGCCAAAACCCAAAAAAACCCCCACACTTTTTTTTAACCTTTAAGACAGATTCTCTGCATTGGTTTACAGGCTAACAGACCACTTAGTAACTCATATGGTTACTTCACAGATGACAAAAAAATGTGTAGCATGAGATAGGCCTGAGCCCCCAGCATCTGAAAGCAAACTGTATGGACAAAGTACAGCAGTTATTCAGATCCAAGGGCTCCTCCCTATCGCTATCTAATTGCTCCTGCAGACTTACCAGCTACACGGTACAGAATTAATTCCAGCTGCTATAGTCAAATAAACATGACTTCCACACAGCCTGGATCTGGTAGTGAGATTTGACGCCTAGTGGTGGGATTTAAAGTCCTCTGATTGTGCTGACTGCATTTGATACCACTCTCACTGCAAAGAGCTAATTGTTTTCTTCCTGTATAGCATCCATGAACATAGCTCTTTACGCTGGCATCATTGGTGGTGTAGTGGCTGCAGTCATTGTTATCGGTGTTTTAGCCTATTGCTGCTGCTGCCGGGCGGAGAAGAACAAGGACTACGAGATGACGTAAGTACCTGTCTCTAGAAAAGTGAACGGAGCACATGAAGGGTTCACAGTCACCCTGTGGCATCAACAGGGGTGGAAGGCATAGGAGAAAAAAAAATAAAGGAAAGTGTGTACTGCTTTCTCATTTCAGTTTCTACCCTAGTGGCTCATCTATCTTCTCACAGAATATGCCCTGTATTATTGGACACCTTGGTGGTCCCTGGCGTATAACCCAAACATTCAAACTTTGGAACTGAGTTAGCAAGCCCAAGGCAGTCAAGCACACAGAGCTACTTGACAAGCCCGGACTGCTTCTCATTTTTCTGAGTCCACTTTTGCTTATTCTCATGATGGAAACAGACCATTGGAAGAAAAATGGGATGGGAAAAGGTACACCAGTCACTCTTTCTCCACATACATACTATGGACAAAAAAGCAGCTCACACACATCTTGCATCACCAGCAAGACTTAATTTATGGAGTCCAGTTTGGTACACTTCCAGCTTAGAGCAGTCCAAAACCATTCTAACACATAATCCCCTCAGTAAAATTTCTAGCTTTTTTTAATTAACATCTCTACTCCTGAACAATGTTTTAGGGAGCGAGAAGATAGAAATGAACCCCCCACAGAGACTCCTACAAGGAACCAGAGAGCAGAGGATGACACTGAAGACGAATGAAAAAAGAAGCAGGAAGCCAATGCCATCTTTGGGATTTGCTGAGGCACAGACAGCACTGGAGAAAAGAAATCAATTCCTCTTTCTTACAGCAAAAAGTATTTTTGGGGTTTTATTTGGGGTTTTTTTTAATAAAAAAAATGAAAGCTAATGGCTCTGTCTTCAAGTTGTGGGAGACAATATCCTTGTCTCCCTGGAAAGAAGTGCTTAACACACAACAAGTACTAATACACCATCTCATAGTGGAAAAAAAATGCATGTGAAGCACTGTTTCACCCAGTCATCCAGAAATAACCAGTCTTCTAGACTTCCCACTTTCCAAAAAAAGCAGCCAGTCAGGTCTATTTGCAGAACAGAGCTGCTGCTACTGTATCCTCAGATCCACAGAAGGTTTCTAGGTCACCAACTGCAAGTCATCGAGGAAGGATGGTCTTGCTTATGGTGCTATGCCAATGTCACAGCTTACAGCACTGCCCAGTATCAAAATTATTTTATGCAGACCAAAGCAAGCTGATTTTTAAGGACATTTTATTAAATATGCTCTTTGTATGTATTATACATGCACACAGAAATAAAGTATGTGAAAAAATTCACACATGACCAATGAAAGCCTCCTGTTTGGAACAGCAATGCGTATGAATGGACTGGGTAAGTTAAGTTTGATGCATTTGTAATTGGCAGCTGCTAAGATCTAGAAACAGTCTAGCAGCCTATATACTGGCAGCTTCCCAAATTTACACGTTCCAGATCAGAGAGTTCCTAAACACTCATTCTCATTACATTATCCTTTCCTCCTGACTGTTGCATGGGCAAGTCAGAAATAGTCTGCTGCTCCTGCTGCTGCTTCTGCTTCTGAAAAAACGACAGTGTGAGAGCGTGCGCATAGCAGGAACATCTTTAATAAAAAGAAGGAAAAGAGAAAAAAGAAGGTAAAGGAGGAAAAGCACCTTTTCATGCAAAATTGTCACAATTTAATCAGAAGCACTGTATGTGCAAACGGTGTGCAAATGTGGAGAGAATTCCCACCACTAGTGTCTTATCTTCGCAAGAGAATGGACTGTCTGTCTTTGTCCTAAAAGACTCAATATGGTATGAAAGCTAATTAAGAGTTGTTTGTCTTTTGGTTTTGTTTGAGCTTTTCAAATTATTTTTTATTAAATACATGTTCAATAAATGACTTACACTACAGTATTTATCTTTTCTAAGCTCTCTATTGCATCTGTGGCTTCAAGAGTTTCAGAAACTTACTGCACTGCCTCCTACATACTTTTTAGCCCAAGCAGTTACTTTTAAATCTGCAACCAAAATCTGTAATACAACTTTAAAGAAGAACCAGCAATCCTCCTACACATGGGCAGCATTTTCTAGATTCTGAACTATGCAAATCAGACTACCAGAACTGTTATTCTGGCTTGCTTTCTGGCTGCCTTTGTTTTACATGATACTTAAAATATAATTATTCATTTGTACTAATAACTGCAAAGACCAACAACCAGAGTTCTTTACAATCTACATGCAAACCCAAATCCCTCTGGCAACGAACAACCTGAAGTGCAACTTGGCAAGACATTCTGAGGACCTATTCCCATGCTTAGTTTAAATGCATGACAAAACACTGCAAAAACAGATGACTAAAAAAGAATTTTGCACACAGAAGCTGAAGGCAGATAAAAAATGAGGTGCACAGCTCAGAAACAGAGCTGATATGTATTTTATTCTCTTTTGTAACAGGCAAGTATAGTCTGAATTATCTAATTAGCATCGCAACAAGGTTTTACTGTGAAGCAAAAGCCGTTTATTTTATAAATATTACAGACATTTGTCAGCACTTCACATTCCTTCACAAACACCTATACCCTGGCTTCTGCTGAGGGGTAACTGTGGATTCTCAAAGACCAGCAAAAGGACTTGACAATTATGGGAAGTATTTATGGCCAGAAACTGGCTCTGGACTCTAAACCACCATAACAGTGTTACTCATTCCATACTTTTCACTTTTAAGGTATCTTAAGATTAACTTCTGCCTGTTGCTGAAGTCCTGAAGTAACATTTGCACATTGGTCATTTTAAGGATTTTTTTTAATTAAAAAAAAAAAGGCACATTAGCAAATCTGCATTAAGTTATCTAAAGAAACCAGCCAGAAAACCCAGATTACATAACGACCCCAAAACCACAAATTCAATTATCTGTTAGCAGGTTCCATAAGAACTGGCAGGGAAAAAGCGAGTCAAACTTATGTACTGGGTTTTCTGTGAGGGGCTTTTGGTTGTGTCTTTGGTAACGGAGGAAGGGCTATGGAGATGGCCCTTTAAGAAGCTACCTGAAAAGCTCCCCCTTTGCCTTTGTCAGGCCCACCTCTGACCAGGGCCAAGTCAATCAGCGCCCCTGTGAATTCATGTATTTAAGAGGGGTGCAGGGCATGTCTTTCTCTTTCTCTGGCACTGGCCCTGGCCCTGACCAGAGCGGCCCCAGCCCTGACCGGCTGGGCCGACCCCAGCTTAAAGCTTAAGCCCCACTGCAGCTCCAGCCCAAAAAAGAGAGCCGGGAACTCCAGAACCATCAGAAGAGACCTGCAGTGGAGAAAAGAGTGGGGCTCGAGGAGAACAACTTTGAAGAACACCAAGGTCGGTTGAAGGAAAGAAAAGAGAGGGAGGAGGAAGAGGACGCAGAGCCCAGGTTCCCCTTTTGCAACCCGTGGCGAGAGCCAGGTCAACTGGCCTGCAGCCCGTAGAGTTCACTGGTGGGGCAGGGCCACATAAGCAGTGGCTGCCCCTGCACAGGCTGTGACCCTGGGCAGTGTGTGCTGGAGCAGTTCATGTGTGAGGGAACTGTGAGAGTGGGCAGACCCAGCTTGGAGCTTTGTGGAATTGGAGACTGATGCAGTTTTGTGCGTGAGGGAAACTGCAGCTGTGGGCAGACCCGTATTGGACTTTAGAGGAGTTTTTCTCCTGTGGAAAGGGCACCTCATATAAGCACAGAGAGAGGCTGGGCAAAGCCCTCCCTATGACACTTGACAACCATTAAAGCAGAACTACTTATGTTCTGCAATGCTAAGCTCACTTCTACACTGGGAAATAAACAAAGTGATAGCATACAGAGAGACGGCTGAGATATTTCAGTGCTGCTTATAACTTTTTTGCCTTTTTTTTGTTAATAAGATTAACATTCTGGAAGTTGTGCATTTATCAGAATGTTACATGTGTTTTTCCTCAACCAATTTGTTAAACTCAGTCAGCCAGAAATACACATATTCAAATGCCTATCTTACTCCAAGGTTTTCCTGTGACTCAATTCATTATTTGTGTGTCTTTTATGTCTTTTGAAGCAGAAATAACTCCAAGAGTCTGTAGTATACCCACAAATTTAAACAAAATTAAAGCAGCAGTAATGTATTTGTGGGGGGAAGATGAGGAAAGCTAGGAATATTTAATTAATTCCAAAGAACTATTCTATGTATACCCAACTTCAATACTCACTTCCCTCAAAACACAGGAAGTAGGCAGAAAATTGATGACCAGGCAGAAAAATAAATTCCTACTTAACCCTTTACACAGCCTACAGTAAATTACCGGTTAGTTACATTCAACTTTCACATGTAAGAATATGCACATATAAGCTTTATCTGTGCATGAACAGGAAGATCCAGAACACAAGGATTTAAGCCTTCACCAAATCATTTTCCCATCTACAGGACTTCTGAAATCTGCTACAGCAAGTGGAACCACCACCACAGGAAGATTTGGATACATCATTACTTTGCAAGATTTGTTTTGGTAAGCATACCAAGAGGATATTTAAAAGCTTTTCCTCCTGACCTGACCTCAGCGATCTGCAACAGGCCACTTTCCATATAATGAACCATATGAAGGAAGTGAAGAAGTCCACTTCATCAGTCTAGCAACCCGATGAAGAGTAGGCAAGACAGAAATTCTGCATGCAATTTGAAAAACTGGCTCATCCTGCACTGCTCAAAGCAATGACACTAACCAGGATTATACCATATTTCCCTCTTGTGTTTAAAGGGGAGTAATATCTCCCCAATACACTACTCCTTCATTTCCCAGCTTTAATCGCATTCATTCACATTAACATTTTCACTTGCTTATAACATTCTGAAGGCCATACACTATGCACCTTAGTGGAGAAAAGTTCATTATTTGTTTCTACTACCAGTCACTTAGGAATAAATCTTAAAAGCTATCTAGACACTTTTCATCCAAGGAACTCAAAGGTCTACTGAATGTTTTAAGCAAATCACTTCTCATTTATGAGTGACACAGTGACAGGACAAAAGTTAAATGACCTGACAGGAGACAGGGATCACCATAATGCAGAAGCACGGAGATAAGGGGGAGTCAGGATTTCTAGTCCCCTGATACACCTTGCAAGGGAAGTATCCTCATCAACACCCTTGTTCCTATTTGACCTTCCAAATTCTGATTCCCCTCCTCTTTTTTTTTCATTCCCTTTGAAGTTTTGGGTTTTCTTCTTGGCAAAGTTTCTCTCCTGCCTGTCCTGACTGTACTGCTGCAAAGGCTTCTTCCTTCCTAGATGCGGGACTCTGTTGCATTTCCTAAGGTTCCTATTAGCCTACTCCTCCAGCCTGTTTAGGTCCCTCTGTTTAACAGTCCTGCCCTCGAGCATATCAGCTGGTCTTCCCAATTTGGTGTTTTCTGCAGGCAAGAGTGCACTCCATCACCTTCAGATCACTGCTAAAGACACTAAACAGGCCATAATATAAAATTCTTCAGTACCCCATTTGTTACTGGCCTCCACATTAAGAGTATGACCAGATTTTTACCCCTCTAGTTGCCTACCCATCCAGACTGTAACAACCCAGCCTGGACACAAGCATGCTGTGAGAGACTGTACTGGAGGCCTTGCTAAAGTCACTGCTGACCACTAGTGTTCTTCCTTTATTCACAAATCCACCATGGAAAGCACCCAAGCTGGTCAGGCACGATTTAACCTTGGCAAATCCATTCCCTCTTCTCCTTCACGTACCCAAACAGGCGTTCCAAGAACACTCACTTCATGATTTTTCCAAGAAGTCTAGTGGAGCTGAGCAGCCTACGGTTTCCTAGATCATCCTTTTCACAGATGGGTGCAGTATTTGCCTTCTATTACTCTGGATTTTGTGTTCTCTGTGACCTTTCAAAGGTGAGAACAGCCTTGCAAAGCTACCAGGCAGCTCTCTTAGCACCTTCAGATGCAGCCCACCTAGCATCAGGGACTTGTATGAGTCAAGAAGTCCCAACTGCTCCATGACTCACTCTTCATCCACTGACAGGATTCTCCTCCCTGAACCGCCCCTGAGTATAGAGACCTGAGAAACCTTATTAGCAAAGACAGAAACAAAAAAGGTACTGAGCACCTCAGCCTCATTTGTGTTATCTCCGGCCATGTTACTAAACCACTCGCACCATTCAGCAACAGGACCACTTTTTCCTTATTCAGTCTTCTACTGCTAACAAAGCCATAAAGCTCTTTCTTGTTGACCCCTTGCAAGCACCAACTCCAGGTGAGCTTTAGCTTTCCAAACACCATCCCTACAGGCCTGGCCAGCATTCGTGGATGCTCCCTTTGTAGCCCACACCTGCTTCTACCTACCTTACACTGTACTAGGTCTAGGGTGCAGCCGTGAGTTCCCTGTAAAGACCAGAGAGTCCCCTGATGGATCTACCTGCGTTCCTGAGCTGTTCTTGCATTTGGAAGACTCTGTTCTTCATGAGCTGCCAACCTTAATGGACTCCTTTATTCTTCAGAGCTGCCTCACAGGGATTCCAGCCATATCCATGTCCTGCATAACCCCCAAGGTTTGCTCTCACTGCCCTCCTCGCTCCTCTCAGGATTCTGAAAGGTATTTTCAGTATTACACAGACAGAAAAACTGGTGCTGGCACTGCTTACTTAAAGATCCAGTATAGCACAAAATTCAGAATGAATCAGACAGACAAGAGTTAATTATCTCACAATTCTTGTTGCTAGAGTAACAGCACTACTTCTCTATTTATTTGTATCATCTGTTCCAGGAACGACACCAAGGCAGTCTTCTATCTGAAGAACTCCACAGTACGACGAGCAAACCGTCAAGATTAATTCTGGGTGCACTGGAACTAGTACTAAGTTTATTATAGTCCACCATAAGGGAATTTGGAACTTCTCTCTCCTGCATTTCACCTGTTCAGAAGGGAGTAAGGGGAATTACAGAATCACAGGACGTTAGGGATTGGAAG